TCCCGCCCCCCGCGCCATCCTCGCGCACACTCAGTGGCCCCGGAAGGGAAACTTTCGGGAGTGGGGGATGTTCCGGGGGCCGGGCTCCCCTCCCTCTTTGAAAGCACTGACCTTGCCCCAGCTGCCCACCCCACCCAACCCGCATCCCACCGTCCGGGTGCCGCTTAGCGGTGCCGGGTTATTGCGGGGGGAGGGGCTCTCTCCCCAAAGCGCAGGCGCGGAGACGAGCCTGGGGCTCCCTTTCGCACTCCTTCCAGTCCCCGTGGCCTGGGGCGGTAGGGCCTGAGGAAGGCGGGGAGAGGCGGAAAGAGCGGGTCTCCTAGAGAACAGCCCTTCAGAGGCTTTGAGGGGCTGCGGGAAGGAGGAAGGACCTGGCGGGCTGCAAGCTGAAGAGAAGCTAAGGGAGGGAAGAGGGTTGGTTGGGCAGGGAGCAGGGACAGGGCAGCGCCTGCAGAAAAGGCCCTCAGGGTGCTGGCTGCGGTGCCAGAAGAATGCAGAGAATTCATCTGTGCCCGACGCTCCCCTGGCTTAGCCCAACTAAGAAAGCGGCTGCCCGGATCCTAGCTCCCCTCTCCTTGTCCTGGGCCCAAGGCCCTGCGTTGTCTCCAGTCCTGGCATGGCCCCAAGGGCACAGAGGGCCCTCGCCTCCCACAGGCCTAGTTTTCCAGGCATCCCAGGGCTGGATCAGCCCAGTCTACCTAGTCTCTCCAGCTGCTACTTCTTAAAGGCCTGCCTTGCTGAGGAGCTAGGGATCTTGGGCTAAGGAGTTCTCTGGCTGTAGAGGCAATCCCTCCCTCCCACTTCTCCCGCTCCTTCATGGGTCCTCCTTCTTAAGCACAGTGGTCAGCCAGAGGAAATAGCCTGGGCAGGGGTGGTCCTGGGGAGCGGTAAAAAGGGTGTCAATGCCTAACCGGTTTATGGTCAGTACTTTTGGGGAAAATGAACATAGCCCATTTGCCTTGTTGCAGACCCTCCCTTGCAGACATTACGCCATCTGGCTCTCTGAGACTCCTTGTGTGACAGGAATTCACTTCTCAAATTGGTCCCCCCATCTTCCTAAAAACAACCTGGAGTTAGTGGGGTTTCCTATCCCAAAGAAACCGTGTGTATTCCTGTCCGGGGAGATATTCCCAAATTCAAGCTTGTTTTCAAAGGCTATGGTCTGTGCATGAGGTGGCATCTTTCTCCAGCTCTGGCCCTCAGGAAAAGAGTGAGGACCTGGAGGGGCAGGTGCCGTGGTTGGCAGGGAAGAAAGATCTTCATGATAGGCCGGTGAAGACCTAAGTGTTTGGGGACCAAGCTGGTATCAATAAAGACAGAGTCAGAAGCTCTGGTCCCTACTTTTCCTAGCTTGCTGTATGACCTTGGCCGAGACAGTTTGCTCTCTGGGGCTCAGTTTCCCCATCTTTAAAATTCAGTAGTTGGACTAGATAGCTCTAATATTCCCGTCCACTTTTTGACATTGAATGGTTTCACTGATGGGTGAATCTATAGGGGAGAAAGGTCCTCTGGCAGAATGGTCCCATTTAGAGGGAGCTAAAGTGTTGGGTGTGCTTTAAATTGCAATTACTTAGGATTAGAACCCTGCGTAGAGAGAACAGATTCCCTTATTCTATGCCTGAGAGTAGACCTTGTCCCACACACCCCTGGTGCCTTGGGATATGAACTCCTGCTGGCTTGGGTTTGGCCCACCCATCACGCCTGTGGTGAGACATCCTGGCCCTTTGAAGAAGAGCTGAGAGAGGAGGAGGCAGCCAAGGGCCAGCAGGGTAAGCAGATTCCCAGGAGACAGTTTACGTCTCAGCTGTTGGGACTTGTTTTAGGATCTGGGCCAGGGAGCACAACACACTCACCCAACCGCCCTCTTATAGGAGGAGGGCAAGGAGGGCCCCACTGCTTTTGCCCATCCCATCCCCAGCCCTGCCCACCTCACTGCTGTACTCACATCCCCAGGTCCCAGGCAAGGGGCTAAGGAATCTTCCCCACTGCCCTCATCCAGCCCAGCCAGCCTCCCAGGCCCTGCCAAACCAGCCAGTGGCAGCAGTGAGGAGAAACTGCACCCACCCCACCTTTCCCAGCCCCTTCCCTCCCGGGGGTAGGACTTCGTCAGGAGTTGGGCTCTCCAGGTTGGGACTTGCTTTCCAGCCCAAGAGCCAGAGGTCTTGAAGTTCTTCTTGTTTGTTTTCATCCTCGGTCTCCCAGTTGAAGGGGAATGTTGAAGGAGAGGTGGTGGTTAAGGAAGCCCTGGGTTTGCTCATGTAGGGGCACATTCTCCCTGCATTGCTTTTCCCTCTGCTGGCTCTCCTGGGCCTGGGAAGCCCTCTGCCCTGGGCCCTGCTGCCTATGAGGGTGAAGCTGCAGCAGGAGGTGTTTAGGTTAAACCCCAAGGAAGCCTTCCTTACTGCTGTGAGCCCTTGGAATGGATAATGGAAGCTCCCAGGGAGGTCAGTTTCCCAGAAAGTGGCTAATGCTGGAGTCCCTGTCAGACTGAAGGATGCAGCTGTTACTAGGCAGAGGCTGCTGTTCCCTCTTGGGGTGTGGCTCTGAGGCTGGCCAGCCAGAGGCCCCGTTAGAAGCAGGAAGAGAAAGGGCCCTTGCCTGACAGCCGAAGTGGGGTCCCTGACCCCATCATGCCTGAGTCACTGGAGCTGCATGTCTCAAAACAAGTGCCCTTTCTAGCCCCTGCTTCTCAGCCCCTCCCCCAATTCAACACCGCTCCCACCGTCTCCTTCGACAACCCTCACCCAAACCTGGCAGGTTCCCCGAGCCCCAGTCTGGCTGCATTAATGGACTGATTGGATTTTCTATACTTGGAGTTTGGGATTTCTGATTGAACATGCAAATTTATGTAAATCAATCTGGGATCTGCCACTACATCAAAACAACACAGAGCATAGGTTGGAAGGAATCCTAGAGACAGTCTAGTCCAACGCCCTCGTGTTAAAAATGGGGAAACTGAAGTCCAGAGCGGGAAGTGATTCATGCGGTGGTGAGTGTCAGAGGCAGGCCTCCTGATTCTGCTCTGTAGTTTCACATGGTCCCATTCTGCCTTAATGTTTTATGCATGAGGTAGCCTGGCTGGATTTAAAGCAGAGAGGGCCAGTTCTTGAACCTGAGATAGCAGAAAGCTGGGCCCTCGGAGAGTCAGAGTGTTATCGCAGGACCGCCCAGGGGCTCTGGTCAGCTTTGTAACATGCTGAGGAAAAACAGCTTCAAATCCCTGAGAACAAGACCCATAATAATTTCCCCCAGACACTGACCTGTAGGGTTGGAGGACAAGGTCATTGGTTGCTGCCTGTCTTGGCTCTTGTGATTTCTCGGGAACTTAGATTTTTTTCTGTCCTGGTATCTGTCACAGTACCAGGCACGCAGCAGGCTGTGGATGGACCTGCATATGCAATGCCTCCATCTTTGTTTACCCTTCCCTTCTAGTTTGAGTCTCTACTGGTTCCCTCTGTGGACACAGTGGGAAAAGGTCTTTGGTCTCTTAGGATGCTTTGCCCACCGTCCTCTGCCCTCTTAGAGGGCATATGTCAACTGGACCTCCCTGGCAGGTTTCTACAGCACTGGCCAGACAGGCCTTGCTGTAGGAAGGATCTCTTTATTTTAGGATCAGTACCAAGGATGCAAGGGGGCTTCAGAGATGGGCTGGGGTTCCCAAGAAGCAGTCTCCCCCATTTCTTCACTCTTCTTGATCTGATCTACCTACCTGGCTGTAAGGTGCTCCCCACTCCCACTTCATGAACTATGCCTGTGGCGTGGGGCTGTTCGGAGGGCTGCACTCACTTACCCTGTGGCGCCTGGGCACACTGTAGAGATGTGGAGGTGCCTGAGGCAGCTGTCAGCCTGCTTTGTGATACTCTGGGAGGGTAGGGCATGGGCTCAAGAACAAAGGCCTTGACTTCCAGCCAGGGCTACTCACCAGGCCCTGCCGCAGCCTAGGAGGGGGCTTGGGACACTTATCTGGGTCTTTCTTCACCTTCTCCCCAAACCCAAGTCTGGAGGACTCTGGAATGAGTGCCCCTGTCTTCAGCACCTTCCCAAAACACTACAGGTGTGGAACTGGCACCCTCACCCCCCTCCGCCCAGCAGCCCTTGGCACCTGTGTCTGTAGCTCTCTGCGAGGGGAAATCCTTCTCCTTGGGCCTCAGTTTCCCAGCCAGTGTTCCTGGATTAATTATGCATCACCATTGGGGTGTGGCACCAGCTCGATAATTACCATTTTCCCAGCTCTGGGAGTTACGCAGATGAAAGAGGAGGCCAGGCTGTTATTAAGGTGAATTATTGTTGCTGTTATTACCGATTTCTAAAACCCAGCAGCTGCTGAGAAGAGCCCAGTC